GGAAACCAGGCAGGTAAGTTCACTCATTGTGAAGATCAAAACCCCGAGATATATCAGCTGTCACTCTGATTGCTCTATCCGAAGCAGGGGAGGGGTTAAGAGCTGGCCTCAGGGTTCAAATCCTGGCCCCCCACTATCTGGCTGTGTGACCTTGGGGAAGTCGAATACCCTCTATGGGCTTCATCTCCTCATCTAGAAGGGCTGTTGGGAGGACTTCAGAGATTAAAGGAGTCAGAGGGTTGAGATCAGTGTCTGGGTCCCATGGCAGGGAGCACCAGCCTTAGCAGTGGCCCACTGGGCTCCCCAGGTCAGCTTCAGGGGAGGGGGCATTGAATCTCATAGGAGGGAGAGAGGATCTGGGGACACAGCTGGCTAACCAGCCTGGGGCAGGAGTGGTTGGGTCAGATAAGTACGTTCTCTCCTGTCCCTCAGGACCCCTGGCTTCTCCAGGGCCTGAGGCAGGACAGTTGAGCCTGGAGCCAGAGGGAGGGCACAACCCCTGGTTTGCCTTCTCTGTGTGGCCGAGCAGGCCCCTTAACCTCTCTGAGCCTTGGCTTTTCTCATTTGCAGAGTGGGAATGACGAGATGTGATTCACGTGTTTTCGTAAAGATCAAACCAAATTTCCTGGGTGTCCTGCCCCGGGACACAGGGACTTTACCACGAGGCTCTGCTGCCTCCTGCAGGGAGTAGCCTGGACGTTCACTAGGTTTGGGGACCTCCAGTCAATTCCTCCAGATTATTGGGCTGGGAATGGGCAACCCCATCCCTTAGCCTGAAACAAGTCAGTGGGAGATTCCTGGGCCACAGTCTAGCCTGGCTGAGGTGTTTTTTTAAGAACCCAGACTTTGGAAGGCAAGGGTTCTGGGTTTGAAGCCAGCTCCACCCCTTCCTGGCTGTGAATTAGAGAAGATGGTTGAAGCTCTCTGTGCCTCAGTTTCCCTGTCTACAAAACGGGGACAGAAAGAGACAACCCCCTTTGCCCCCAAAGTGGTAGTCATGAGCCTGATTGCCCCTCGGTGCCCTCTGCTGGCGGGGTTGCCTGACCTGCCGGCCACCCAGTGACCTACGCCTGCCCTGCCCGCCCGCAGAATCGTGCAAATGCTGTTGCCAGTGACAAGTCGCACGCGCGTGCGCCGGAGCGGCGTCAGTCCCCTGCACCTGGCAGCAGAGCGCAACCACGACGCGGTGCTGGAGGCTTTGCTGGACGCGCGCTTCGACGTGAACACGCCGCTGGCGCCCGAGCGCGCGCGCCTCTACGAGGACCGCCGCACCTCCGCGCTCTACTTCGCGGTCGTCAACAATAATGTGTATGCCACCGAGCTGCTGCTCCTGGCCGGCGCCGACCCCAACCGCGACATCATCAACCCACTGCTGGTGGCCATCCGCCACGGCTGCCTGCGCACCATGCAGCTGCTGCTGGACCACGGCGCCAACATCGACGCCTACATCACCACGCACCCCACCTCCTTCCCCGCCACCATCATGTTCGCCATGAAGTGCCTGTCGCTGCTCAAGTTCCTCATGGACCTCGGCTGCAACGGGGAGCCCTGCTTCTCCTGCCTGTACGGCAACGGCCCGCACCCGCCCACTCCGCAGCGCTCAGGCAGGTTCTACGAGGCGCCCGTGGACAAGGAGCCCAGCGTGGTCCAGGTGTGCGGGCATCGTGGGGTCCAGGGGTGGTCTGCCGGTCCATGTGCTTTGGAGGTGGTGGAGCCAGGTGTCAGCGTACTTTAGAAGCAATGTAGACTCGTGGTTAGCACACTTTGGCGAGAGTGTGGACAGCGTTAGGGGCAGCAGAGCATGGAGGCCCATGAGAGTGGGAGGCAGTGTGGGTTAGTGGTCAGTGCTCCATCGATGGCGGGAACTAGCAATTAAGGGGCCTTGGAGGGAGTGTAAACTTGTAGTTAGCTCCTTGGGAGGCAGCGGGTTGGCGGTTAGCACCTTCAGAGGCAGCAGAACTTCGTGGGTCACATTGGATGATGAAATAAATCCTTATTTTGTTCTGCTGTGTTTGGAAAGTTAAGACGACAGCAGTGAAGCTAGGAGTTGGTAGGGAACTCAACCCAGGCTCATCAGCCCTGCAGAGTGGCACCTGGAATGTGGTGGTGAGCGGCAGGAACCAGAGGGCAGGAGTGAGGTTAGGAGAGGGCAGAAAAGCACCTGCGTGATGTTGGTTTAAACCAGTCTGTAAAATGAAAAGGAAATGAAGAGCCATCCTGTTGTAATGGTTCGTGACCATAATTTATGGGCTGCCTACTGTATACAAAGAAGTTTCTGTGTCTGTTACCTGAATTCTAATTTTTAAAAATCCCCTTGACATGGGCAGCATATACCCATTTTGCAGACAAGGAATTGAGGCTCAGAGAGACCATGTGATTTGCCTAAGGTGCCCATCTTCGCAGGCTAGGGGCCTGTGTCGAGAGAGGTCTGTGTTGAGGGGAAAAAGTTTTCAAAGTGGACCTGGCCCGGGAGCACCGGCTGCCTCCTGGCCTCAGGGACCCTGAACGTGTGCTGCCTTTCAGTTCTGCGAGGTCCTATCGGCGCCAGAGGTGAGCCGCTGGGCGGGGCCCATCATCGATGTCCTCCTGGACTACGTGGGCAACGTGCAGCTCTGCTCCCGGCTGAAGGAGCACATCGACAGCTTCGAGGACTGGGCCATCATCAAGGAGAAGGCAGGTAGGGGCTGTTGCTGCCACCGCTGGCAGGTCCCCACCCCCCTGGGGACTGTGACTGCTACCAATGGGTAGTGCCAGGCTCTGCACTGTGCTGCCTGTCACCTGCAGTGTGTTGCTGGTGCCTCCTTAGATGATAAATGAGAAAACCAAGCCTCAGAGATGTCACCAGGGCCAAAGTCACCCCACTAGGTAGTAGCAGGCAGGGATTCATACCCGGGTCTGACCAACGCCCACCCATGCTGTTTGAAGTGTCTGGCCTCCTGAGGAGGGCTGTGGAGTCTGTTGCCACATTCTGGGGCCCGAGGCAGTGTGGAGGGGGAGGAGAGGATGGGGATGGGGTGTGTCCACTGGATGGTGCGCCTGAGCATCTGGGCCTCTGTCAGGAAGGCCGCTGGAATCAGCAGCCGGTGGGCCTGAGACAGTGCATTCCACTGTCTTCTGGGTGGGGCCGGTGCTGCTGGCCCACAGATCACCTGTGGCCCCAGATCTGCCGTGGAGCAGACCCTGGGCTCGGAGCCAGCCTTACCAGCCACAAGCAGGATAGTTGTGGCCAGGGTTCCTCCCACCCAAACAGAGGAGTTGGGGCAGGCTCACAGCCCAGCCCCTCCCAGCTCTGGCACAGGGAAATGGGGTCTGGCCACTGTCCAGCTCATGTGTACAGTTTAGATGGGTCAGCCCGCCTGCCTCCTCAGTCCAGGGAGGCCAGAATCCTTCTTAGGCATTATGGACTCACCTGGGCAGGTAAGGCGTCACAAGCAGTATTGGTGCCAGCCGTGGACATGTGCTTGGAGGAGTTCAGCTGCCCAGGGCTGTCTTGGGCTCTGGCCAGGTGTCTGTCAATCAGGTGATGCAGTCTGACCTCCACCAGGCTATTGCCACTTCCGCACAGCTGCTCCTGTCCCATGAGACTGCTGCTTCAGCTCCCCGACACTGACTCCCCAGTTCCCTGTTGATCCTGCCCCTCCGTGAACCCAGACTCTAGTGTTTTCCATTAGCACAGCTGCTCGAAGAGCACTTGAGCTGATGTCTCTGATACAGCCACTGCGGCAGCAGCAGGGTAGGGCGGTGACCGGCCACTCTCCAGGCACAGCTCTGTGTAAAGCAAACCTTCCTCGACTCTTGAGTAACTGGCAGCTGGCACCCTGATCCTTGGCCACTAGAGGGTGGAGCGGTCCATGTCTGGACGTGGGCCCCGCTGGCTCTGTCCCCCCCTGCTGCCCGGCTGCCTTCCCCAGGGAGGGGTAGTGTCTCAGCTAAGCCTACCCCAGGGCCCTTGATGTTCTGTTAGCGTCAGCCCAGGGGACCGACAGCTCTAAACCAGCACCTCTGGGTTCAGGTCCACCTCCCGCTGCAGGACCCTCTCCGCCTGCTTTTGCGTTGGAGCCTCTGATGCTGACCTCATTATCCTGGACAGGAGGCGGAGGAGGCCCTGAAGGGCAGCAGGGCATTGATTCACAGCCCCCCACCCCCCCAGGGCTCCTTTGGGTCCCACCCCAACCTGAGTCTTTTCTTCCCTCCCCAGGGAAGGTGCTGCCTCGGCAGAGGGCAGGATCCATCCCATGGGAGGGCGGGGGGGGGGGGGGGGGGGCCAGGAGTACCAGGTGGTGCGTGGCCCCAGGCCTCCTCAGTCCCTCCCTCCACACCCTCCGCCCACCCCACCTGCAGCTCGTGGCCCCTGCTGCCTTCCCGTCTTGGGACGCCTTTGGCTCCTCCCCACCTGGCCCCACCGGATGTGGAGCCTTCTCACAACTCCTGGGCCGCTATGGGTCTGCGGTGGCAAGGGGGCACGAGTGCTTGCTAATGAATGTGGTGACGTTCTTTGATTTGCCAAACACCTTCCATGTGCCCAAATAAACAAATGGCCCATTACTGGGTGCATGGTCCCTGCCGGGCCTCTCCCCACCCCGCCTCCCAGCTGAGAAGCTGATGCCGGAGGCCTTCCAGGGAGACTGGAGGGCAGCCTGGTGGGACTGTGAGCCCTCAGGGCATAGAGCAGATTCCTTGTGTGTGAAGAGGAAGGAGCTCAAGACAAGGGAGAGGCCAGCGTTATCCCAGAGCCTCCTGGGTAAGGCCCAGAACCTCACTGAGCCTCAGTTTCCTCAGCTGTGCAATGGGGGCAGCAGTACTCACCCTGTTGACTTCCTGGGGCAGTGCAGATCCATGCGGGTGACAGCGGAAGGCACCTTGCCAGGTCTCCTCAGTTGCAGGGACGGGGGTACAGAAGCAGACACCCCTCGCACTTAGCTGTGCCACCCAAGGGCCTCCCTGGGCCAGAGGCGCAGATGCACACCCCTGTCGGTGGTACCCAGCGTCTCTTTCCCTCCTTTCTGCAGAACCTCCGAGACCCCTGGCTCACCTTTGCCGGCTGCAGGTTCGAAAGGCCATCGGCAAGTATCGCATCAAGCTCCTGGACACGCTGCCCCTCCCAGGGAGACTGATCAGATACCTGAAATACGAGAACACCCAGTAAGGGCCTGGGAAGCCGTGTGGCCCCTCGCACATGTTCTCCAAGTCTCAGGACGGTGGTGTCCCCACATCCAGGAGCACCAGGGGCAGGACAAGGCTGCAGGCTGCCTCCCTCTCGGCTGGGACAGCCACCGTGTCTTGCCGGGTCTGTGCCCCAGCTTTGTCCAGAGCAGAGAGCACAGCACCCGGAGTCGGAGAAGAATCATCTGTTTTCAGACTGTGGAGTAGAGCCCAGACCTTCTCTGCCACTGGGAATGAGGGGCGGGCTCCATCCCGGAGCCTGGACAGAACTTGAGGGGGTCCGGGGAAGGTGGGGGCCATAGCGACCCCTGGCCTCCACCTGAGCTGCGCTGGAGGACTCCTAGGCACGGGCTCGCCTCTCTGGGATGGGGTGACCTTGCTTCAGAGCATTCCCCGTGCTCCCCCCACCACTTCGTGTAACCCCCCACTTGACCTCAACCTCTGAGCGGGGCCAGGACCAGGGAGGGGGTCCCTCGGTCTGGAGGGCTTCACTGAGTACAATAAATGCTGCACACATGTCACCCTGCCCAGTGACGACGTCCCTTTCACCAGACTCCCCTGAGGCCTGAGGTCCTCAGTCCCGCTCCAGGCAGTGGTGGGGACAAGACACGGGGAACATGTCATCCAAGAAGGTGTATCTTTCACTGACCAGGAGGGACCCCATGGCGCAGTTGGTTTTCCTGTCCTGTTGGGTCGCTGCGGAAACGGGAGCTTCATCGGGATCAGGGTGTCAGTGCCCACAGGTCTTCTGGCACCAGGGCTGAGCCTCCTGGCCCCCTGTTGTGCGACAGACGTTGAGATAGTAAAAGAATCCGTGGCGGGCTCTGTGGTGGATGTGCCGGACGGAGGGCGGGCAGGCGCAGCCCTAGCGGAGGCCCTGGGGAGAGCGAGCCCTGGCCCTGGCGGCTCATGGGGGAGCCAGGCTTTGGGGTGAGGGGATGAGGCTCGCCACCATCATGGGGTTTTCTCAGGGGCCTCTGGGCCGAGACCCCGCAGCCCGGCTTCATGGGAGCTCCCTAACTCCTCAGTGTTCTCTCTGCACCTGGGTTGAAGCCTCGCATCTGGGTGCTCACAGCCTCAGCAGGGCAGGAACGGCCAGCCTGGGGTCCGGTGGGGTCTTCACCAAGGCCAGGGGTAGTTCTGGGCCTTTGGAAGGTGAGCTGCTGGGCCTGTGGGCGAGCACTGCCCAGCCCCGTTTGGCTGGCTCCTCTGGTCCCTCATCTGAACAGTGAGCCATGGGGCCCCTGGTGGCCTTTCTGCTCAGACGCACAGGTGTCCCTGGACAGAAGATCCCAGGAGAAGCAGCACTTCGCAGCCCCGGGTCAGACGGGGCCCAGCCACATCCTGCCCGGGCCCTTGTGTACTGGTAGGAGACAGGCCCGGGCAGGAAGGAGACGTGCCTGGACACACACAGGCCCCTGGGCTGCAGCTCCCCGTGTGGCTGGAGGAATCGTGGCATCTCAGCCCTGGGGCGCAGGGGGAAGCGGCTGGTAAGGCTCAGCTCCTGGGTACCCCTACTGGAAGAGGGCTTGCCGACCCACGTCAGATGACTGCTGGTCAACCTGAGCAGAGGCGGAGCAGGGGCGGAGCGAGGCCATCACGGCCAGGCTGAGCTGCTAGGTGCACGCGGGCCAGGGTGGGCATTAGGCAAACACCTGCTGCCCAGGTCATCCTGTCCAGAGAATCCTGACAGCCAGTAGCCCAGAGTCGGCTCCCTGAGAGGTCCAGGTGGACGGGGCACCTCTCTGAGGAGACTAGGGTGCTAGAGTGGGGGACCCGGGTGGGAGGGGAGGGGACCTGGAGCTCAGCCCCGAGTGGAGGGGTTTGGTCCCCTGAGCTGGGATACACCAGGGTCATCCTTGTCCATCACTGGGTCAGAGGTCTGGTCCGCCTCCTCCCGAGGTCCCTGCCCAGCCCTGGCCTTCTGAGGTCCCTGCTCCCTCCTGCCCACAATCCAGTGACCAAGGCCTGGCCTGGGGCCTGCTCCAGTGGTCAGTTCCAATTGCTTGGTGCCCAGGTGAGTCCCTGTGTTCTTCATTTGGCCTTTTCTCCTTCAGAAGAACTGACAGCCTCTGCCACGTGACCCAGCCCAGGAGGGTTTTCAGGCTCAGACGTCACACAGCATCACAGAACCCTTCCTGTCCTGGAAGGTGGGCAGCGACTCTGCCCTGAGCAGACGTGCTGAGCCTGCGGTGGGCTCCACGCTGAGAGGCAGAGCCCTGCTGGCCCCGTCCCCTCACGTGCTCTTGGCCGGGGGCTGTGGCTGCTTTTTTTTTTTAAATAGCAAAGCCTCCCCAGATGCACGCAGGTGTGTTCCCCAGTTTCTTTCCATGTGGGAGTTCATTGTGCCTCTGGTTGTGTCTTAGAAATGAAGCCTCAGACTTTCGGATGCATGGGTTTGCAGGGGTCCCCTGGAAAGTCAAGCTCCAGTGGGGACAAGCTGGTTTCCAGCCAAGAACCTCAGCAGGACTGGGCTCAGGCAGCACTCTGGGGAGTGTGGCTGATTGGATATTTACTATGGCGGGGCCTTTAGACGCCACCATTTAAGTATGAAGGGGACTTGTGGTCAGTGCAGTTTTTAGGGATCTGTGCAGTGCAGTGTACTGGGCCTGTGGTCCATCTCATTTTTTTTGGTTGGTTGAGAAAATTTCAACACAGAGAGGTTAAGTAACTTGCCCAGTATCACACAGCTGGTAGATGACAGGGTTGGGAATGCAAGATTTAACCCCTTGCTGTACGGTTGGGGGCGGTGACTGAGGCACAAACGGGCTTCAGAAGGCCTGTGTGATGACGCTTGGGGGCAGAGGAAAGCACATGCCTCATCCTGGCCCCTTAGTCTGGGGCTGCGGGTCCAGCTGAGAACCTCCCACCTCCCAAATGTCAGATAATCACTCAGAGAAACTCTGCCCCGTCTTGCCAGCACCTATGGCTCCAAAGTCTTCTGAGGCCACCAGATGTGAACCACCCAGTGAGCGAGCTGCCCTCCGGTGGCCTCCTGGAGGGTCAGAGGGGCCCGACGCAGCCCTAATCCTGGAGCCCGTGCTGGCTGAGGGGATTCAGAGCCGTATGGAGGCCCTGACCCAGGCCCACGGGCTGCAGATGAGGAGGCCGTAGATGGCAGGGGTTAGCTCAGCCAGGATCCTACTGCTGATGAGGTGCCACCGACTCCTCTGGCCCCCGTTTGATGACCCTGTTTGATCAACTGGACAGCTCCGTATCCTGAAGGCCCAGCCCTGTCCACCACAGGACCACGCAGGGCAGCAGAGCGATTCTGGGCTGTGAGCAGGGCTCTACTAGTTGAGTCCTGTCAGCCAGGGCCACCTCTGGCCACTGGTGGCCCTCTGTGCCGGCACAGGCAGAAGGCTTGTGTTCCACGGAGAGGTGACCAGGACAGGAATCGGCGGGAACCTGGGATCTGAGTTTGCTAGAGGTCGTGGCCTTGCTGTTTTGGTTGGGGTCTGGTTTGGGGGTTTGTTCTGTTCTGCCCATGGACTTAGAACACGAGGCCATGCTCACAACAGGGACAGTCTGGTCAAACCACCTGTTTTGTCCTCAAGGGGCTGAACGGTGGGGCCCGGCTTCTCTGGCCATGGGACTGCCCACAGCGAGCCAGACTGCAGTCCGCTTCCCTGGCCCAGAGCAGCGGGGACCCTCCAGGTCTGGCCTTGCCCGGCCTCTTGTCTTCTGACGCGGGTTCAGAGCCCGCCCCGGGGGTCCCCGCCCTCCGCCGCCCTCCTTCCTGTGCTCTGACCCGCAGCCCCAGCGCCCATCCCCAGACTCTGTGGAGGCTGTTGCAGTTCCGGCCTCCCCTGGCTGCTGGCCTCCGCAGGCAGCCCGCAGCCCCGGCACAGCCAGGGCTTCCCAGGCCTGGGGCCGCCAAGCTTCAGGACACCCACGACGTGGAAACTGCAAAAGAAACGCCTTTATTCTTTCAACCTTCTTAATATTTACAGAGAACAAACAGAACAACAAGTGGCACTGGCTCACAGTGGACAGGTGTGAAACTGGCATCTGCGATGCTGGTGGGCAAGGGCCCATGGTCAGCCAGGGGTCAGGGGGATGATCTGCTGGGCCGGACAGGGAGGGGCCCGCCGGGCCCGCCCCCCAGCTGCCAAGGCTGCAGGGCTGGCTGGTGACTGCCTGAGAAGCCCCACCGGTGCGGCCCTGCCCTGCCCCACACACACAAAGGGAAGGGGTGTTTGGAATACCCCAGAGGCCACGCCACTGCCCAGCCCCCTCCTCCTAAGGAGAGCTCGTTGGGGCCCCTGATATCTGGAGGAGGGGGCCGAGTCCCTCCCAGCCCAGCTAGAGGTAGCCGAAGACGTTGAAGATGGGCGGGGGCACGGCCGGCTTGGTGGGGATGGGCTTCAGGACCACCGGTCTGTGCACCTTCTGCCCCGGGCCTTCCACATCCTTGCAGAAGTGAGCCAGCTCCCCGGGCGAGGCTGGGCTCTTCCTCCACAGGCACAGGCCGGGGACCTGGCTGTGGGGCAGGGCCCCTGGAGGGCCTGGGTACATGGGCTGTCCATGGTACTGGAGGGGGCAGCAGCTCCAGGCATCCACACGGCCCACCAGGGAGACCCCGGGCATCTTGAGGGGCTCCTTGTCAGCCAGTGCCCTTGGGGACATGGGCACCGGGGCAGTCTCAGGCCCCAAGGACTCCAGGCCCTTGCAACTTTTCTTACTCTCGTAGGGAGGTCCCTCCCTGGGGCCCAGTCCCCCCTCCAGCGCCAAGGGACAGCTGTGGGTGGGCCTTGGCTCTTCCCAGAAGGAAGCGGGCAGCTGTCTTTTCCTCATGGGCACCTGGCCAGGCTTGGCAGCCTCGGGAGTCTGCCCCTGGGGGCTCTGCTCCTTGGGAAGCCGCTCCTCCCTCCAGGGGTTCCCCAGAGCCTTCTCCTTGCAGCCCCCTCCCCCGCCGGGGCTGGCACCAGGGCCCGAGTGGAGGGGCAGCCTCCCGGGCCGGTCTTCGGGCCCCCTTTTCAGGTGGGGCTCAGAGGCCCGGCCAGGAAGGCCCCGCGGGAGCCGCGAGCACTTCTGGGAGAAGCGCTTGAGCTGCTTCTGCAGGTACTTGCGGTGGTCCACGGAGCGGCGGCAGGGCGCGGACTTGTCCAGGGCCGCCTTGATGTCGCTGGAGGCCAGGTTCACAAAGTTCAGCAACATCTTCACGTCATTGTCGGATGCCATCACCAGGGGGCCACGGCCTGGGGCTTTCCATGAAGAGGGTGGACTCTGCTGGTGGCTGGCAGCTCCGAGGAGGGGCGCAGAGCTGACCTGGGGGACGGGACAGGCTGTTGGAGTCTCTCGAGCGGCCACACCCAACCTTCACCTCAGGCCACCAAAGCAGGATGCAGAGTGTCCCCACTCCAGCACCCCTCTGCCCTGAACAGGGTCCTGGGCAATGAGACACAGTTCCGGTGGCTGAGCATTGCCCGAGCTTCTGGGATGGGACGGGCACTAATGGGCTCAGTGAGCCTTCTGGGATCTGCTGCCCTCTTCTCGCAGCTGAGGCTCAGAGAGGTCAAGCCACTGGCCCAAGGTGACCAGCTACAAGTGGTGCTGCTGGGGTGGCATCCCCGTCTGCCCAACTCCCACACCACGCGCTGCCAACGAGGTTTTCACTTGCGCATGGAGGCAATTGCCGCACTTAGAGAAGGCCAAGCCCCCTCCTCCCTGTGGTGGCCTCCCCCTCCCACCACCCCGCCCCCTCCTCAGGCCCACGCTCCACCCCCAACTCTCACGCAGGACCAGGCAGGACCCCTGTCTGGCACTTAATCGAGACCTGCCTTGCGGGCTCATCTCAGGCTGCGGGCAGCAGGGACTCCCCCGTAGAAGCATCTGCAGCAATTTCATGCCTCCTCGGCCACCACCCACGACACTGCGCCCCTCCCCCAGGCCCCAGCCTGCCCCACGCCCCCACCCAGCCGGGCCAGAGCCGCGGGCCTCCACACTAACCGAAGGTGCGGACCGGGCCCGCCAACGTGGCCCGGCAGGTTCCCCCGCAGACCTGGGGCAGGCCCGGCGGCCGCGAGCTCTGTGCGCGGGCGAGATGTGCGGCCCTTGAGTGGGCTGAATGGAGGACAGCTCCCGGCCGGGGCCCCAGGCCAATCAGGAGCGCCTCTCCAGATACAAAGCATCCCAATCAGGCGGCGGCGCCCCGTTCCCACATTCTTTGCCGTCACAAATTGTCACCATGGGGACCATCACAAAAAAGACAGCTCCCAAATGCAATCATTTCCCGGTCAATTTCTACCCTCGGCCCTGCTCGGCCGGCCTCCACGCCCCTCCTCCCCTTGACCTCGGTTCCCTGGTTTCTCGAGGGGGCTGTGTGTGTGTGAGTGTGTGTGCGTGTGTGTGTGTGAATGTCCAGGGCCCAGAGGGGCCGGCCGGTGGAGACGGGCTTGCAAACCTCCCCCAAAGACTGCAGCTGCCATGCTCCAGTGCAGACAGACAATCGGACAGGGTAAGCCGGGCGGGCTGCTTTCCCCGCTGTCCTTGAGTGTTGAGGGCCTCGCTCTCCGTCTCCATCTTTGTCCCTCGCCCTCTCCGCCACCCTTGCCCCAGGGTCCCCCAGGGCCGGGGCGCGGGAGGGCCGTGGGCCGGTGGTGCACCGACGTGGGGAAGGTGGCCGGGACGGCCCTGACGGGTGCTGGCATATCCATGGGAAGGGAGCCGGAGCCCTCAGGAATCTTGTCTTTATGTTTGCTTCCTCAATTGAGCTGCACAAAGCCTGAATTGCCCATTCAGTGCGGCCGGACAAAAGGCTGGCGTTGCACGGTCCCCTTGCATTTGTAGTCAAACAGTTAGGGACTTAAATCGAGTCGTCATGATGGAGAAAGAGGTGGACAAAGCCCATAGAATTGCCATCAGCAAACATTTTCCTGTGTCATATTAGCCAGTCTCCATGGCTCCCCCTGGCCTGGGGACAATGGCACAAGTTTGCACACTTGGCTACTGTCACCGTGCCAACGCCGGCGGGGCTGCAAGCAGGGCCACTCGCTTGGAGCAAGCAAGGGAGCCCAGAGCTGGCGTTGGCCCTGCCCACCAACTGGCCACAGGGAAGGTGAGGCCGATGGCTGGGGCAGCTTCCTGGGAAATGCTGACGGGCAGGGCCTCCCGGCAGCCCGGCCAGTGGATGCCGCCTCCTGGCCTTTCTCCCTGCCTCTGCCTCCCCTTTCTCTCCTTTCCCCTTCTGATGCCTTCTCCTCCTGTCCCCTCGGTCACCAGAAGGGCCGGTGGCCTGTACAGTAGCCTGGGCCTCTGCACCTCACACAGCACCAAGCTCTCAAGCGGCTTTGTCACGTGGCACTTCATTGACATCTCACGTCTTGGTAACCAACACCTGTCATAGTGCAGCCACGTGCCACATGACGAGGTCTCAGCCACCAAACTCTCTTTTAGGACAGAGAGGAGGAAAGGAGGGAGGGGGGAGGGAGGAAGAAAGCAGACGTGTTGGACACCTCCTGTGTGCCACCAGCAGCATTTGGTGGACGGTCCCCTGGGGCAGCCTAGGACTCCTCGGCGTCCTTGCCATTTACAAACCAGGAGAGGGCGGTGGAGTTACCCGCCCGAGGCCTCGCAGTGAGGAGCTGCAGAACTTGAACCTGCAGCCAGGCCTCCGTGTGCACAGCCGCTATGCTTCCTCGACCTCCTGCTGAGCGTGGGACCCCTGACCGTCCACGCAGGTCCTGCGCTCGGCTCCTTCCACCAGTGTCAAGAGTGTGATGGCCATCGTCCAGCTGTGGGCGATCCATGTCTAGAGGGGACAGAGAGCAGCTGCGGCCTGAGGACGGTGGCTGAAAACCCAGTCCAAGGGCCGGCACTGACCCCACCTCAGGCTGGCCTCTGGGGACAGCCTCTGACCTGGGCACAAGTCTGTTCCAGGTTTTCCCTTAGCCCGCGTGGACGGTGGAAAGACAGCAGCAGTGGCCACTTTGCCTCACTCTGGAGGTCTGCGGACTTTCCTCCTTCTGGCCCTGCGTCTGGGCAGGCCGGGAATTGCTTTCTGTCTTACAGTTGGTGATGCACCCGGAGACAAGCTTCAAACCTCTGGTGCTGGGCCCAAGTTGGTCAACTCTGTCCCCTCAGCCTTCTTTGAGGCCCTGTGCAAACATCCCCTCCTCCAGGAAGCCTCTCCACCAGCTCCCAGCAGTACTAATGACCCCCTCCCGAGCCTATAGACAAAGATGAAGTCTAACCTCCTGAGCCACATACAGAAGGCCCTTAGTGATCTGACACCCCTGGAAGGCCAGCACAGTTTTTATTAAATTTATCACGAATCGGTATTAATCCTGTGAACTGGAAACACCTTTCTATCCAGCCAGGTGAGCCCCAGGAGAGGAGGGAGCTGGGCTGCCGAGTCTCTGGTGTCTTCAGTCTCAGCACAGAGCAGGCCTCTGAGAGATGCTCGAGGTTGCTGTGGTTGTACTTGGTGGTGAATCGTCCACATCCCTTCAGTTGGCTGGGCGCCTGGGGGCGGCTGGCCCCCTCCCCTCCCCGCCCAGCAGTGGCTGCTGTGATCTCACTTCCAGCTCTGAGCTCCTCTGACACCTCATCATAGGAGGGAGAATCTGCTTGATCCCAGGACAGGATGTGTCCTAAGTCACGTGCTCGTCCCAGGAGCCACGATCACTCTCCTGAACAAAGAGGGAAATACAGGTGCCCTCCGGCGAGGAAACGCACCCACATCCCACCGTCAGCTGCTGCGGGTGAGATCCGCGCTCTGGGGACCATGGTAAGATGCTCTGTGACGACTGTCAGTCCCCAGCCCGACCCCTCCCAGAGCCTTTGCCAGCCAGTGCCACAGGCACAGCCCTGCCCTCCCCCGGAGAGCGAGGCCTGACCAGTCAGGCTGCACGGGGCCCGCCAGCGCTCCGTGGCTGGACGCAGACATCACAGGATGGTTTATGTAACCCCTTATATAACGGCAGCTCCATCAAAGGCTGCCCGCGGCTGGTGTCACTTGTAATCAGAGTGGACGCTGGGATGGGAGCAACCAGCTGAAGTGACTCTGCCCAGGCAGCCACACCTCCCAGCAGGGTTGTGCTTGCAGAGCCACTGGAGATGACACAGCCTGGCCAGTCCCTGCAACTGTCTGAGTGTTCATGTCTCCTGCCGGAAGTGTTCTCAGCTGATTTCGAGCTGGCTTTGGAGTAAGATCATTCAACTCTGCCCCTGCCTGGCTGTGTGATCTTGGGCCAGTCACTCACCTTCTCTGGGCCTCAGTTTCCTGCTAGAAGACATCATTGATTCTCAGCCTCCAAGTTGCAAGATTTATGTGGGGCTACTGTGTCATAAGTCAGTGTAACACATAAAAGTCTCAGAATTGGCAAATGATTTCTCCTGATAGAAATTGGGGTGGCAGAGTCACTCTCCTAATATCAGGAAACCTTACTGTATCTGATGAGGAGTTCAAGGACCAAAGCATCCAGGAAGACAGGTGGCTCCGTGGGTTTGCTCATCACCAGTGCCTTAGGGGGCTTCCAGGACAGGCTTCTGTGTGGCAGTCGAGGCTAGGGGCTGACCTCCTCGGCTACTCCTGAGCTCAGAGGAAGCACCCATTTTTCATAACTAAGATGGTGGCTGTGGGGCTTTTTGGGTGCCTTTAATTAGGTCTTTACCATGCATGGGGGTGAATTTCGTCAGATGATCTTTCTGCCTCCACTGATATGATCATGTGGGGTTTGGGTGGTTTTTAGCCTGTTTAAAATTTTTATTGTGCCAAAGTATATATGCCAGCGTCAGATTTACCACTTCAGCCATCTTAAGGGCATCATTCAGTGCATTAAGGACATTCCTATGGCCGGACAGTCACTGTCCACCTCCAGAACCGTCTCACCATCCCCATGACACAGTGACACCTCATTCCCAGGGCCTCCCTTTACCGCCACTCCGTCCCCTGTACCTCCAGTCTGGGTCCCTCGTGATTGAGTGCGGAATCATACAGCGCTTGTCCATCCTGTCCGGCTTCTCAGCATTGAGTCTTCAAGGCTCCTCCAGGCCACAGAGTGGGACAGGACTTCCGCCTCTTAAAGGCTGAATAACGTCCCATTGTGCACACATGCACCTGGAGGAGGAGGTTGGGATGCTCTCCTTTGCTTGGCCTGTTGATATGATGCGTCACACCAACTGGTTGGCCAAAATCGAGCCATCCTTGCATTCCAGTCAAACCCCAACTTGCGGAATTCAATTTGCTAATCTTGTGTTGAAGATGTTGGCTGTGCTTCCCACATCCAGGGGAGGCACTGGCCTGCAGCTCTCTTCTTGCATTCTCATCTCCCTTTGGTATCTGGCAACACTGGCCTCCCCAGATGCATTGGAAGGGCTCCCCTCTCTTGTTTTCAAGAAGAAATTGTGCAGAATCAGTGCTGGTTAGTAGAATTCTTCACTGAAACCATCTGGGCCTGGAGATTTTTTTCAGGAGGTTTTAAACTATAAATTTGATGTTCTAAAGAATTCATTGTACTATTCAGAATGTTTATTTCATATTTCATATTGGATGTATTCGCTTGTTGTCTTGGAAGAATGGATTCATTTTATTTAAGCCACTGAACTTATGTTTACAGAATTGTTCATGATATTTCCTTGTTTTTTCCTCGTTCCTTGCTGCTGGGCATTGACCCAGGGCCTCCTGCATATGCTACATGAGTGAGCACTGTCCCTGAGCTGCATCCCCAGCCTTTTCTGTTTTTTGAGACAGCCTCACTAAATGGCCCAGGCTGGCTTTGAACTTGGGGTCCTCCTGCCTCAGCCTCCTAACTTGCTGGGATCAGAGGTGTGCACACAGTGCCCAGTCACCTTGTCCTTCCCTAATGTCTGCCAGATCTATGGTGACATCCCATTTCATTTCTGATTTGCTGATCTG